GGGGGAGGGGCTGGATTCCTCCCTCCCCGCTCCGATCCTCCAGCGCTGACTGGCGGAACGGACAGGGGAGGGGGCGGGGACAGCCTCTAGATAGGCGGAGCCAGCTGTCACTCACGCAGCTGGGCGGATCTCTAATGTCGGGATCCGCTCCGGCTGCGGCGTCTCAGTATACCGCGAGCTGCAGCTCCCTATATACCGAGCCTCGGGTGACGGGAGGATGCTAGTTTGTGTCCCTCCCCCGACCCTGAGGAGAACTATGGGGGGAAAGACGTAACCCCGTACTTCTCCTTTAAGCTTCAGTACGCTCCTGAACTTCCGTTCACTTGTCAGCCGATGAATCCATTCATGTAAAAGAGCCGAACTTCCCATCACCAGTTCCTCTGAGCTCCACCAGGTGGCGATCTCACCTACACCCAGACAGGAAGTCTCTATGGCAGGAAGTGATGTCACCTATAAATAGAAGGTTCCTACTGCTTTTGGAGGAAGTAGAGAGGAGACATTGTTGGAATTGGCAGCAGAGGAGGTAATAAGATATTATATATATACACCCAGTAACCCCTCCCCCCGTCATGTCCATCCTCGTCCTCCATAGTCACTGCAACGTATTTTATCTCCGGCAGATTCTTCTACACACATATATAGCGTCTTCTATAGAAAAGATGGAAGATGAGGACATCACAGCAGATTGTGCGGGAGAAGAGACAATGAGCTCAGCTATGGATGGTGGACCTCACAGTGTGGATAGACCATGGAATCCCTCTGACTCTGAGCGACCTCGTCCTGTGGGGGATGGTGCCGGAATTCAGGGGGAGGAGACATTTTCCTGTCCTGAGTGCGGAGAAGGTTTTAGATCTGATTTAAGTCTTACTGTACATCAGAGATCCCACACGGGGGAGAGGCTTCATTCCTGTTCTGAGTGCGGGAGAAGTTTTCTTCATAAATCAAAACTCGTCATACATTACAGATCCCACACGGGTGAGAAGCCTTATCCCTGTCCCGAGTGTGGGAAAAGTTTCTCACGGAAGTCATGTCTTTCAATACACCAGAAATTGCATGTAGGAGAGAAGTTGTGGTCATGCGCCGAGTGTGGAAAATTCTTTTCACAGAGGACCAACCTCGCGAGACATCAGAAACTGCACATAGGGGAGAAGCCTTTCGCCTGCCCCGAGTGCGGGAAATGTTTCGCACGGAAATCAGACCTCATTATACATCAGAGATCTCACACGGGGGAGAGGCCGTATTCCTGCCCGGAGTGCGGGAAAACGTTTATAGACAAGGCCAGTCTTAGCAAACATCGGAGACTACACACGGGCGAGAAGCCGTATTCCTGCACCGAGTGCGGAAGAAGTTTTTCACGGAAGTTCTGTCTTATCAAACATCATCGAACCCACACAACATTCGAGGTGTATTAGTAGAGTGCGGGAAATGTCTTCTATATCAATCTTCGGAGGTCTGACACTGGGAAGAAGCACACCTCGATTTAAACACGGGGCTGAGTTCTCCTCTGGTCACAGTTGACTAAAGACTTCAAAGCTGTGTCTGGCTTCCTCTGCTAGGAGAGAGGGGGAGGGGGTGTCACTGCGGGTTGAGTCCCTCTAGCAGTGTAGTCTGATCTCCCTTCCAAGGAAGACATCATGGTGAGGGAGGAGCTTGTGGACGAAGAGAAGGGGAGATCAGACTACACGATAGGACAGACAATGCTTTTTTGACTCGGAGAGCCCCCTGCTGGAGGAAAGTGGGACAGATGAAGATACGTTGCCAATGTTTGATGCTTAATATGAAATAAAGATATATACATTGATCATTTGTAAGTTGATTGATGAAGGTCCCCCCAGAGCAGCCAGCGAGGTTCCATGCACCTCCACCGCGAGGGCCTTTTTCTTCCATCAGAAGATGCCTCTGTGGCAGTCTTCGACCTTATGAGGATACATAGAGGAGACCCGGATCTCAACCAGTGTCCATCCCTGGCCAGTAGGTCCCCACCAGTCCTCTGCTGATCTTTGAGCAATGTACAGAGCGGGTGTCTACCACCTTTCCTGAAGACATCTCCGAACCTTCAGCTCCGGTCTGGTGGTCCCAGTACTGGGAGGGTTTCCAGAGTCTATATAGACGGTGTTAGTAGACTTCAATAATGACGGAAGGTTCCGAAACATCTCCAACTCTGGGAAGACGGAGGCGGGGCTCCTGATCTGATTTTAGCTCCCTGCAGATCGGAGATGAAGGGCCTCGGACGTGAACTGTTCTATAGGTTCAGGTCACACCCGGTGGAGGATGAGATGACTCACCTTACACCTCCTAGTCCAGACACTCCGGGAGTGAGAGGGCACAGAGTTGCATATTTGTCGGTAGTTCAGATCACAGGAAACAGCTGAGTGAGACACTGGTACCCCACAGGCTGGAAACATAGGGCAGGCAGAGGTCGTTGTCTAGGAAGAGAGATAATAGGTAGGTTGGTGGTCACACCAGATGATCAGCAGAGAGAGGTCATAGGCAGGAACCTAGCCAAAGTCAAACCGGAGATAACAGAGACAAGTCTTGGTCAGGAACTAGCCGAGGTGCAACCGGAGATAGCAGAGACAAGTCGGGGTCAGGAACTAGCAGAGGTCAGACCGGAGATAGCAGAGACAAGTCGGGGTCAAACCAGAGACAAGCGGTCAGGAAATAGCCTAGGCCAAACCAGAGATAACAACAGAGACAAGTCAGGGACTAGCCGAGGTCCAACCGGAGATAGCAGAGACAAGTTGTAGTCAGGGACTAGCCAGAGTCAAATCGGGGATAGCAGACTCCAGTGGTGGTCAGGAACTAGCCGAGGTCCAACCGGACATAAAAGAGACAAGTCTTGGTCAGGGACTAGCCGAAGTCAAACCAGAGATAACAGACAAGTGGTGGTCAGGGACTAGCCGGGGTCAAACCAGAGATAGCAGAGACAAGTCGTGTTTAGGAACTAGCGGAGGTCAAACCGGAGATAGCAGAGACAAGTTGTAGTCAGGGACTAGCCAGAGTCAAATCGGGGATAGCAGACTCCATTGGTGGTCAGGAACCAGCCGAGGTCAAACCAGAGATAGCAGAGACAAGTCGTGGTCAGGAACTAGTGGAGGTCAAACCGGAGATAACAGAGACAAGTCGTAGTCATGGACTAGCCGGGGTCAAACTAGAGATAACAGAGACAAGTCGTGGTCAGGAACTAGTGGAGGTCAAACCAGAGATAGCAGAGACAAGTCGTGGTTAGGAACTAGTGGAGGTCAAACCGGAGATAACAGAGACAAGTCGTAGTCATGGACTAGCCGGGGTCAAACCAGAGATAACAGAGACAAGTCGTGGTTAGGAACTAGTGGAGGTCAAACTGGAGATAACTGAGACAAGTCGTGGTTAGGAACTAGTGGAGGTCAAACCGGAGATAACAGAGACAAGTGGTAGTCAGGGACTAGCCAGAGTCAAACCGGAGATAGCAGACTCCAGTGGTGGTCAGGAACGTAGCCGGGGTCAATAACAAGGAGTCACCTCCTAGCTCGGCACTGTCCTTTAAATAGGCCTCCCGGTACCAAGCCCGGTATGAGGTAAGCATGTCCATGCACCTGTGCGCCCTCGAAGATTAGCTTGCTGGAGGTTACCCTTGCCCTGCGTATTGGCGGACATCTTCTCCTCTTACTGTCCTGACACGTACCACCCATTCCCGGAGGTGCCGGGCATTCTCCACGGCTAAGGAGCTATGGTGGGGGCCAAGGTAAAGTGGGCCTGCTGATATTCTTATATCACAGTCTTTGCCCGGCCTGGCTCGGTGAATGAACACGGCCTCCGGTCACAGGTACTACACATGATTATAATGAACGGA